AAAATAAACCTAGGTTCGGATTTCGTTTAGTTTCGGAAACTCCCTTTAATTTTGCCCAACTTGATCATCATTCCATGGAAACAAGATGTTTGGAAGAATGATGAAAATGATTGTCTTAATAAGTCCCATTCATGAACCTAAATTGTTTTATATGGAACAAGCTAAGTATGTTTTGAGAATTATTTTATGCACGTAAGCATCAACTTTTATATAGGGTCTTTATTTTATGAAATTACTACCAATTTAACTCAGTCCAAAACTATAGTCGAAACGAATCCATTCATAGGGATTGAATTCAATTATTCAATGAAATTCATACTTAAAAGACAAGAAAGTGACATTTACATTCTTAATTTTTCCACATTTGAAGTGAAAATGATCATTTGACCTAAAATTTAAAGGTGCACTTGGATCTGGTTAAATTTTCAAGCACATCATTTTTATGCTCGTGATGGCATTTCAAGTGTTTTTTTAAATATACTCCACAAAACCGATCAATATTTTCTATTAAAAGGGGAACACGGGAGACGCTTTGAACCGAGAGGTGATGCATATATAACTTCTTTCTCGGTAGAATTCTCATCATTTGCCATCTATGAACCGAACATGCTCTATTCCATTAGTTATTAGTAATATCAATATGAAATACACTACAAACAAATTTGTTACAAAGTGTACAATATTTTTAGAAAAATGCGTTGATTATTGCTATTTTTTGTTATGTTTTGAATGACAAACTTATATACTCATTATGTAGAATGAATAACTCTAGTGTGAAGGTTCCGTTTAAAGCTTCTAAATCTTTTACAAGAGACCTATTTCCTAGAAATTTTTATAAATTGAATGTAATGATATATTTATCGATATAGGGAGAATTGATAGTGAGACGTTGAAAATAATAATTAAAAAAGTAGGAGAATGATTAGAGAGCGGTGAGGAAAGTTGAAAAGAAAGTGATGTAACATTAAAACTTGAAAGTAGATGATATATAAGAAGAATAGAAGCAAATGAGTAGTGATTATTTAAGAGGGATTAGTTCCAACTACATGGCAACGAACAACAAAACATACAAAAATAGTAATACGTATAAGAATAATTAAGCAAACCGAACAGAAATAGATATATCTAAAATTGGAGATTACAAACCAGTTGCAAAATTGAAAAAAATTGACAATCGACAAATAGTTTCATAAAATTTAAAAATTTATCTTTTAATGGGTGCCACAACTACTATAGCTACAAATTCTCCACACCGGTCAATCTTTATGCCAATGTCTTCACATGAGTGTCCATGAACCTGCATCAATAGTTTATCAATTGTATTCATGTATGTTTTTTTGTTAACAAATCCATAGAAAAAATACTTATTGCACGATTTATCAATAACCTAATGAAATAATTGAGGATCGATGCGGCAGACTTCCAAGGTGCCGCAAGAAGAAAGAAAAGATATTGTAATTCTCTCAAGAGTAAAGTAATCTAGTCTAACCTAACTCATTAATATGAGCAAGGTTCCCATGACACTGGTTCCCAATGTCATGGGATGACCCGGGGACGCTCTGGTGCTCCGTTCGTAAAATTGACGGTTCATACCTCCCCTAATCCTCCGGTAAACCTCCTCACCCCGCCCCGACCCGAACATATTCCCCCACCACCTTCAATTGCACCCCACAAGTTGATTTTGATTTTGAAGTCAAATTTTGATTCCAAAGTCAAAATCAACTTGTGGGGTACAATTGAGGGGGGTGGGGGATGTGTTCGGGTCGCGGAGGGTCGAGGGGTTAGAAGGGGTAGGAAACGTCAATTTTACGAACGGAGCACCGGAGTGCCCTCGGGTCATCCAATGATATTGGTTCCCAGTGTCATGGGAACCAAGGTGTATATATTAACCATTCTCACTCGTAGAAGACAATATCGTACTAATACGGAAACTTGGCCCGTGACCATATTTATGTGTTTGTTTGTCTTCATTGATCAGGCAGATGCGAACGCCCCTATACGGAGATGCGAGAGGATTACGATTATCGGGGGAAGTAGGGGAAGGGGTAGACCTAGGAAGAATTGGAAGGAGGTGATTAGGCAGGATTTAGGACTTCTCACCCTGACTGAGGATATGGTCTTAGATAGGAACTTTTGGAGAACTAGGATTAGAGTAGCTGGATAGGAGCTCGGTGCTGTAGAGGTTGTTTGTAGTGCAGTGTTTGTTTGAAATCTTTTGCTATTGCTTGTACTTGGTGCTTTACCCGTACTATATTGTGTTCCCTTCCATAATTTTGTGCAGGTTGAGCCGGGGGTCTCTTGGAAACAGCCTCCCTACTTCCGAGTAGGGGCAAGGTCTGCGTACACACACCCTCCCAGACCCTACTGTAGTGGGATTCAACTGGGTTGTTGTTGCTGTTGTTTGTCTTCATTGATCAACATTTGAATTGGCCTTTTTAGTTTTGGCATTGATCTCCTTGGCTTGTTTATTTTGTGTCCATGCTTCTATAACTTTATAACATGGAGTGTTTGCCCAGCTAGGTTAAGGCCTATAAAGGTTTGGGTTTTACTTTTTCTCTCGTTTGATGTCTATTTGACATTTTGACTAGTGTTGCATAGCATAAATGAAGTATTCATGGGTGTGGGTTTGTGCATAGGGTGGGTTATGTTAATGAAAAAAAGTTGGTGAATTTCAAATTCCATTCTACTTTTGATTTCTACTCTGGACTTCAATGATGTTTATTACTCGGTGTGACATTGGGATCAAAGAAAATTGTTAAAATATGAGTAAAATATTTAAAATATATTAAAGTTAGAGTTTCACGTTTTTATTCTCGAAATAAAATTAAAATGCATTTAAAGTGTCAATCATGACCACATTACCACAGTGCAAACTTCTATTTTGAGACTAAAAATACAGTATTTTATTTATACTTATATTAATTAATGCTCCATCATTCTTGCTCCTTAGCAATAGAATATCGCCGTTAAATTTTTATGAATCATGATTAACAAATATATAGTCAAAATGCATTAAGGAGAAAAATTTAAATCTTGTAATATTACACTCTTTTAAAAATGCTTTCAATAAAAGATATACTTTTGATAGTGCCTTGGGCCCCGCATGGGTAGATGTGGCGATTGCGACATGGGATCCGAGGTCATCCCAACTCCAAGGACGCTCGCTGCTCTCTCCACTCCCTATGGCGTGAGGGAGCCCTACATGTTTCTTAAGGCTCCAATGGGGCTCAAGAGCAAGCTCTAACAAAGGGGTACCCTTGTTGATAAGAAGAATTTCTCACACGTTAGATGATGAAATGGGCATGGAAGACACACATATGATGTGAGGTTTCAATCTAAAAATTACACGATTGAATAGTATCAATCATGGCCTATGACCATTTTCGGTGTATCTAGTATAATTACCCCATCCTATGTAGGTGGACAAAAAATCAAGCTAGTAATACCCCGATTGTAATCTCTTTATTTTTTGCACTCTCTACATTCTCTCTATTTACATAACACTCTACATCATATCCGACCCGAGGTTGACTTTGTTGCGTGATTCTTGACCAATCAAATTGATGCCATCATTGAAATCTTAAGAGACATGCATACTCGGAAGTTAGCTTTTATTAGCAAGATGGTTAACAAAAGAAATAACATTGCTATTAATATTATTGTGGTGCAATGTGAAATGGTAATCACACCCACTCTAGTCACCAGAGACGCTCAAAAACTTATCTTTCGACTCGGGATCACCCCAAACCAACTATGAGTGACCGTCAAAAATGTATGTGTTGATGAAAATTACGAGATAGTGTAGGATATTTATAGGAGAGAAAAGAAAAAAAATAGCCTCACCATCCCGTGCCAATTTGCCAATGCATGCTAGCCTAATCGGCCGTAGCTACTAGGCCCGCCCCCAAAGTCCAATCCCGTACAACCATAGAACAAACCCGCCGTTCTGACTTCAACAAAATGAAACCTTGTCCACCCTTACATATGTATGTGTTGGTGAAAATTTTTTCAAACACAACATTTGTGTAACTACAAAAATACATTACACAAACATGAAGGTGTCTATGTAGGTAACAATCATTAGAAGTAAGGCAATGATGATTTAATCCCTGAAGGGTAAAATACTCCCTTTGTATAGTTCACCCGTATTAAATAAGAGTCAAAAATGGAGTGATGGGTGTGAGATGTTCTAGCACTGCCCCTCATTGGAACCTAACCCATATTCGGAAGGGGGTGGCAGTAACCAAACAGTAAAATCATAAAGGTAAAAAATCTCTTTAACAACAACTGTTCCATTTACCCCAGGCAGAGATATAAAGTTCATGGGTCTTGATCAAATTACCAAAATCTTTGATTTCACTTTCCAATGGGTTCCTATGTACTATGCATGTGGACTGTATTACATGGGACTTCCCAACATGTCTATTCATAGAACTTTTTCCAGAAATTGAAAAGCCTTTCAAAACACGTCCCAATCAAATATTATGTCCCCACCTTTCTTCTTCATCGGTAACCAAGAAATAGCTTTCCATAGCTTCTTCTTCTTCTTCTTCGAGACCTTTAAAAAAAGTTCAGTCTCTAAAGAAAATGAAAAAGCAAACCAACCAAACGCAGATAAGAAAAGGAACTCACTGCACTGCTTTATACCAGAAACTTTTAATATCATCATGCATATATAGATTCAAAGCAAAAGATTCCAGAAATGAGAATAAAGACAAGTAATATTCAAAAGACACTTCCATTAAAAGTTGAACAAAACCAGGTTTAAGGATAGATAACACCATTGGAGGTTCTTCTAGTCAGCTAGATCTTGAAAAGGATGATCAAGGGATGGCGAAACACAGCCCAGATCCATAATAACACAGACAACTCAGATTGATAATAGTAAAAACAAAGAGATGATAAAGATAAAAACTACAGGGCTGAGCAATGCAGAAGTTCTGATAGGCTCTCTCTGAGTTGATGGGTGAACAGATCAACGGCTGCTGTTCGGGCAGTCGCGAGCAAAGTGTCCTTCCTCGCCACAGCCAAAGCACCCGGATCCGCCGCCGCCGCCGCCGCCGTAGCGGCCTCCGCCGCCTCCTCCACCGCCGCCGCTCTGTGTGCACTCTCTGGCGAAGTGGCCGTCTTCACCGCATCGGTAGCAGCCTCCACCGCTGCCACCACCTCCACCGCGGCCACCACCTCCGTAGCCACCACCTCCGTAACCGCCACCGCCTGATCCATAGCCGCCACCNACCGCTGCTACCTCCGTAGCCTCCACCTCCGCGTCCACCGCCTCCCCGGCCTCCGTAGCCGCCTCCTCCGCGGCCCCCTCCGCCTCCTCCACCGCCGCCGGTGGAGCGTCCCTCGACGGGAGCACCATCGGGACCGGTGACGTTCACGGCCTTGGTGCGGCCGTCATCGCCATGCTCCACATCAAACTCGACGGCCTCGCCATCGCCGAGGACGCGGAAACCCTCAGATCTGATGCCGGACTGGTGGACGAACAGATCATCGCCGCCGTCGTCGGGAGTGATGAACCCGAACCCCTTCTGCTCGTTGAACCACTTGACACTCCCCTTGCCCCTAGCCTGATCACTATCCGCCATTTTTTTTCTCTCTTTCGAAATCAGAAACCCTAGAAGGCTTTGGCTAGATGCTTCTACGGAGGCAAAGGGTTGGATATATAGGGAGAGAGTGACACGTTTATTTGGGGCGGGGCGGGGCGGGGCGGGGCGGGTTAGGGGTATAGTCCTGTAACGGATGGAATATGAGTGGTGGGCCTCTTTTCTATTGGCGTATCGGTTATCGATGACATCCAACGGCCAGGGTTTTCCAGATGAGTCAAGATGACTTTTCTCCTCCTGTGGATTTGGGCCTCCCTGAATCCTTTTTGGAAATAGGGTTTGAAGTTTGAATTAGGCCCGGACCCAATTCAATCCAAACTGGACATGGTCTCGAATGGGTTGTTCTTTGCTCCGTTTTAAATTTTAATTTATTGGATCGTAATCCTCAAAATCTGGCCACAACGGGTTTGGACCGAGAGCTGGTGGGGCAAACTGGGTAATGACACACCGAGAAGCAGTTGTGATATTGGGATATTGGATAAACATCAATACCATTTGGTACTATTATATTTTGAAATTGAATGGTATGATATCATGGATTCATTGTACTTAAGGCAAGGGACGTTCAAGTATTTTCACTTATAGCTCTTGGAAGAAGGAAAATTTTGCTTCTGGATAAAGAAATTTTAGGATTCTCTCTTTTTCAAGTGTTGATAATTTTCTTGTATTTTTATCTCTCTTGGGTCTATTCTTCAGCCTTCCGTAAGAACTATATATGGAGCTAGATGGTTTAATCTATTCGTTGAAGAGAATAGATAAACTTTCGTTTGCTAGCCTCAAATTTGAATGAAGGGAGTGTGAGGATTGTCTTTGCAAATATCTTCTTGGACATGAGCTTTTGTTTAATAGATTCTTTTGTCATAGGCTTTGTCTTCTAGCTCTCTGTTCGAGTTCATTAATAAGGGGAGTTCATATTTTTTCTTCTTGCCATTTGTTTTGAATAAGTGGACTTATCATCAATCTAGCTGTTTGATTGTCAAGGAGTTAATTTTTCTTGGCAACAAATAGAATTCCTTCAATCATTACTTAGATTACTTTCCAAGTCCTTTTTCTTTCTCACTTGTCGACCAAGAGTGCCGGTTCATAAGATTGAGAAATCCGGCTCTTAATTTAGACAGTTCCAGATAAGTGATACTGAAATTTTTAAGTGAGATAGATATGCGTTCTAGTCTGCTGAGAGACAGAAGTATCCACGCTTGTGCTAGTCTTCCGAAGTGTAGATTTCCGGAATAGAGAGCAAAGCTAGCTTTCCTAATTCATTGTCGTGCACGAATGGCTATGAGACTTCCGGGTAGAACTTGAGTCTTCCGAACTTTAGAATTCCGAAGCGATTACCTTTTTTGAGAATTCCATTTTTGAATGTGATATCTCTAAGTGAGATTTCCGATTTCTATGTCATTGATTATTGCCTGATCTTCAAATACAGTTGCTCAAATCTCAAGACGAAATATCACAAGTTTAATTGGAACTTAAAAACTTGGTTTTAACAAAATTTCTAAGAAAACAAAAATTACATTGAATTGTGGGGGAGCCCTAAAGACCCTATTACAATCTACATACATCATTATCATCAAAATCTAATAATATTTTCCCAACAATATGCACTAAATATTAAAAACTATAAGTTATAAAAGACTAATTAGAGAATTTGCTCTTTTAAAACTATTTTTAACATGGAAATTAAAAAATATTAAAGTGTATGGTTGGAGTTTATTTATAAGAAGTTAAAATTTGTATACCATAAAAAATAGTAAACCAAATTTTCATTTTGATCATATGAGAATCAATTTGATATTGATACATATTAAAAAATACTAAGAAATCACTTTAAATAAGGGTAAAACATACTCCGTAGCATTTACTCTTAAAATAAAAGTTTCATATGTTTTTCCACCAAGTAAAAATTTGCACTGTGACATTATGACATCCCACTGTATTTTTTTTGATACTATATATTAGAAGTATTTGCATTGCATTCCTACTTTTGAGATAGAAACATGAAACTCTTATTCTGATATTTTTTCAGTTTTTTTTACTTTTAATTTGGTCTTTTTCCGAAAAGAAATTAGAAGTTATTAATCCAATTTAACAAGAACAATGTCTGCATTGAAAAATTATGTACTATAGAGTATTAGTTTAGTTGGCATATATTCCAACGTTAAACTAGAGAGTGCCACAATAACTATAGTCGAGAGAATCTGCCCCCCTAACATAATACTGACTAACACATAATTTTTTTCTTTTTTCTATCCAAGTACTGTTGTTAAAAGGGAATAATAACTTCTGATTTCTACTTAATTTCTATCCATTCCAAATTGATTCTCGAATTAAAAATTAAAATTTTCGGTATATAATTTGTATGCTGTGCAAATTTTATTTTTTTATATAAATAAACTACAATCATACACTTTTCATAATTATTAGTTTCTATATTATATTAAAAATGGTTTAGAAAAAGTAAATGTTCTAAATAGCCTTTTATAACTACGAATTTTCCATATTGAGTTCATATTTATCAAATATTATAATCGCAGTTCTTAATTATTGGATATCATTCCACATTTTGTCCTTGTCTAAAGTTACTAAGACGGATAAATAGATGGAGGACCAAACATAAAATGGTACTCAATTAATACAGACTCTCAACATGATATTAGATAAATATAGACTAAATATGAAAAACCACTAAATATTAATGACTGTTTGGAAAACTTATTTGAGAGAAAAAAACTCCCCAAATTGATTTGATCCAAGAGTACTGGAAATATCCGTGAGGCCCTGGGGCTTCAAACAAGAGCTTTATACCTTCTCTCTCTTCCATGTCCGGTTTAGCTTACCTCACAGTTTCAGTGGAAATGAGTTTGAAGCCCCAAGGCTTCAAACCTTCATTTTTACATTTTAAATATACATCTTCTAAAATTAAATTAATAAAATTTAATTATTTAAAAGAATTGAAACGTGAATATTCATTAAAAAATTACATTCATTTAAAAAAATTACATTCATTAAATAAAAAAATTACAAGGAGTATTTATAGTTAAAAAATTTAAATTGTTTTTTTTAAAATATGCCCAACGGCCTTAATTTGGACTGTTGAGAGGGGGTGCAACGGCCAAAATTGCAACCTTGCTGCGTTAAACATTTGATGCAAAACGTTTAATGCCGAGATGACAATGGAGGGGGAAGGTGTTTAACGCCCTCACGCGTTAAAACCACCTTAACGCCTATAGGCGTGAGGAACATTTCCATTGCTTTAAAAGACATTTTAAGAATTTAGTGTTTGCAAGTTCTTTATAAATAGAGAGAGAAAAACTCTCCAAATTGATCTGATCTAAAGGCATTCTAAGATACGGAGTATTAGTGTTTGGAAGTTCTTTATGGATTTTTTTTTTTATTTCTTGATTTGCTGTTCCAATACTTATCCATTGGACTTAACAAATATCGAAAGCTAGCGGCATAATTCTCCGAGACAATAATATCAACCCAAGGTCTTTATGGTACTTGAGAAGTACCAAAATGAGATTGTGGTGTTCAACAGTGGGCCGGGGCTCATATTTTACAACCCCGTGAATTTTAATTGCAAAAAAAAAAGATGAGCTTCATCTTCGAAGGTTTCTTTGGACTCGGCTAAAGAATGATGTAGAGAAGGTAAATTAGATTTTAATCTCTAAATTGATGACACGGAATGAAACCTGCACCTGATACCTGCAAAGGTCAAACTCGAGTTTACCTCCCTGACACTTCATGCGAATGTCAATTGCACAACGCCCACTGGCACTAAAATTCATGTTTAGTTTATTGATTTTAGTACATAAAAGGTTTGTATAGATATATAAATTGGACTTTGTAAAAAAATCTGATTATAAATCCATAAAAAATACTAATGAGAAGATCTACATGTCCACAATGGCACACATGTGGAGATCCATTATGATTAATATGGGGGCAGTTGCCCTCAAAAAATAGTTACGGAGGATGGAGTATAATTTTTTTGGGTTTGTATTGGTCCCCCGTGTAAAAAAATATACTCCCAATCAAAAAAAGAATTAGCCCCCAGTCCAAAAAAACTAGTTTAAAGTAAGAAATAGTTATTGAAATAAAATATAATGGCAAAATATTTGAAATATAATAGTCACTCTGTATATTAGATTATGATATAATTTATATTATATTTTTTCGATTTTAAAAATCTTTTATTTTAGTTATTTAAATACTTGTTTGAAAATAAAATTACTATGACCTTGCTCCAGTAATTTTTTTGGATCTCCCACTGATTGCACAATTAATGAAAAAGAGGGTCTTGTTGGGAAAATCACCTCAATTTTCTAGCGAAAGCAATTAATAACTTTCCCGTCTTTGTGTTGTCAAAATTGGCAAAATCATATGACCGATCAAGAATAGTAAACACGTCAACAAGCAATCAATCAAACGATAAACGAACACCAAGATTTAACGTGGAAACCCCAAATCGGGAAAAAACCACGAAGCCTTCCACTAATCACCAAGAAAATCAGTGGGTACACCAAGAATCTTCTCTAAATCAATTAGAGGTACACACAATCATCAAGTAATAACTTGGAACACCAAACAACAATAATCTTCACTAAAGAGTGAGAAATCCCCAATAAAAACGCAACAACAAACAGAGGCAGTTTTACCGACATCGAGAGGTCAAAACAACAATCCCACCGTTGGATATGAAGAAGAGGATGTGAGGAACAACATACTAAAATTTCATCCCAATCGGAGCTCGTTTGGTCATCGATCGGAGCACAAAACAAGGCTGCACCTCTTCTTTTCTTCCTTCTTCCTTCTCTCGGCTCTCACCCCATTTCTTCTCTGTTTTGCTGCTGTCCTTTCTGCCGTGAGAAGCCAAACAAAGGCTACTGCCTTTTCTACCAATAATAGGTAAGTGGTAGCCCCCACCACTCACACTTTTCCTTTATTTCTTTATAATAATAATAATAATAATAATAATAATAATAATAATAATAATAATAAATATTATTATTATTATTATAGTAACCAATTCTAAACCATGTATAGTTTAGCAACTCCTTCCTCCATGGAGGAGGGATACCCCAATAGGTCTCTCATTGAATTCATATATACTTTCTTTGTCCCGGTGTATTCATTTATTTTGACTTTTTCGAGTCAAATAAAATAAAATTTGAGCTTCAATTAAACAAAAAAATGTAATGTATTTTAATAGACTTTGAAAAAGAATATTATTGTCTTTCAGAAAAGATCGTTCAGCTTCGAATTTCAGCGAAGTTATGGGTTATGTTTCTGTTGGTTGAGAACTTGAGATATTATTTATGAACAATTAGTATGTTCAAATAGAGTTAATAATTTTAAAAAAAATTAAAAAAAATTAAGTACTCGGTTTATCATCGAGGCATAATCCAAGTCATACCAGTACTTTATTCCGATTTAGAATTACTCGGAGTACTATCTTTTCTTAGTGTTTATCTACTTTGAGTTTTTACAATTATAGAAATTTTGATCATCAATTGAATAAAATATTTACTACGGAGTAAATATTAAGTAAAAAATGAATTAATTAGATTTTTGTATCGTGTAAAATATTTTTTAAAAAATCATTCTACTTTATTATATATTCTATCCATTCTATAATGATCTTTTCAATCATTATTCAAACGGTCAAATTTTAATAACTTTTTTATCTATTTTTGTTATTTATTTGATAAAATTATATATAGTCATCTCATCTCTTGTTTTGTAAAACTTTTAATGTAGTTTTAAAATATATATTTTTTCTTTTTTATTTTTACACCTATAATCAAATAAACTGAATTGAAAATAATTTTAGTCAAACCTCATAAACTGGATAAACTTTGAACTTCAATTATATAAAATAATTTTCTTCCGTTCTTCATTTTAGAACGGAAGAAATATAAAATATAATACTCCTTCCGTCCCAACGCATTTGTCCAGTTTGACTTTTTTCGTGTCAATCTGGATAAACTTTGAACTTCAATTAAATAAAAACCGTAATGTATTTTGACATAAAAATGACTTTATTGGATTTATCGTATTAAGACCTTTCAAAATTGTATTTAATTATGCTAATATGAAATATAAATTGAGAGTAATTGGAGTTTAAAGTTTGTCTAGTTTGACTCGAAAAAGTCAAAGTAGACAAATACACTAGGACGGGGTAGTATTTGCTTAATGGATGATCACATTTATTTAATCACTAATCATGGTCACTCTCTTTGAGTGGCCACACAAGACATTGTCCAAATTGAGACACCTATGATATTCTACTATCTCTCGCAAAATTTATAATTCCTACTTTTCTAACCCCCACTAAGCCCTTACTTTTAGTCCTAACATCAACTCATCTCCCTACAAATGCCAATGTAGAGTGTAACTTTAGTTGACTTGATGTCAAATTTTTAATCTTATAATTAACTAAACTTACATCTTGCAATTCACATAGGGAGATGAATTGGAGTCAGAACTGGTTAAGAGTGTTTACACTGTAGATATTTAGAGCCTGTTCTTTAGAGCTTGAACTCTTAACTTCGAGTTTCTTCTAGTTCCTTCCAGTTTCTTCCAGTTCTTTCTAGTTTCTTCCAGTTTCTTCTAATTTCTTTCAGTTTTTTCCAACTATATTTATTTTCTTCAAATTCTTTCTACTTTCTAACAAATCACTCTAAAAATATATTACCCCCTCCGTCCTAAAACTTTCTTCCTGGTTCGCAAAACGAAGAAAAATCCCAAGTTTTTTCAATCTATTTTATTTAAATATTGGTATAGAAACAAAAAATAAAACATACATATTTAAAAACTACATCAAAAGTTCAACAAAACAAGTGGTGACAAGAATATTTTATTTTATCATATAGGCCATGAAAAAACACAAATAAATATAAATTCCTGTGAAGTTAGAATAGTGCTCTGGGAAGAAAGTTTTAGGACGGAGGGAGTATTATTATTATTATTATTATTACAACTATTATGTTCATAACTATATTTTATAAAATATTTCATTTTTTCATCTCACTATTTTTATGATACACCTTCATTATTATTTTTTCTTCAACTTTTTAATATGAATAATACTATTTTTTTGTATATTAATCTACATAAAAAATTAGGAAACTATTTAAAAAATTATGGATAAAGTAGTTATGTACAATATTTTTTTAATCTAAATTTATATAAGGTAAACATCAATATTTTAATCTAAAATATAAAATATGTAATGTGGTGGGGAGTACTATTATACATTATGAAAACCAAGAGAAACTAAAAAAGAAGGGGGAAACGAAAAAAGGAGTTGAGAAAAAGACCCATTGCGTTGGTCTTTATTACTCAATTCTTTTTCATTTTAATTAATTTCAAAAATTAGTTTTGTTTTTTATTTTTCTAATTTTTATAAAAAAATTGAAAGTCAAAATACTTTAGAAAAAATGACTAATGTAGGAGTAAAGCATAAAAGAATGTAAAAAAAGTTCTATGTCTTTATTCCAAAAGTAGGGTTAGAATGAAAATAAATTGTCAATCATTAAATAAAAAATAGGTTTGATTATATTATGTGATATGCCGTATATTTAAAACAAAATCTTGTAATATATAAAATATAATAGAAATATATTATTTTATAATAAATGCAACATAGCCATAATAACTCTTAAACATTTAACATTTTCATATTTATGCTAATTTTATATTCTAATTAATTTTTTTAAACTAGTTTTTTACATATGAAAAATAATACTTCCTCCGTCCTATAATGATCTTCCCGGTTTGCAAAACGAAGAAAAATCTCAAGTTTTTTCAATCTATTTTATTTAAATATTGGTATAGAAATAAGAAATAAAGCATACATATTTAAAAACTACACCAAAAGTTCAACAAAACAAGTGGTGACAAGAATATTTTATTTTATCATATAGGCCATGAAAAAACACAAATAAATATAAATTCCCGTGAAGTTGGAATAGTGCTCTGGGAAGATTATTATAGGACGGAGGGAATAATATATTTTTATTTAAAAGGCAATCATTAAGATAACATGATGACATCACCACCACCAACAATAACAACAACAACAAGAAGAAGAAGAAGAAGAATAATAATAATAATAATAATAATAATAATAATAATAATAATAATAATAATAATTTATAACAAGAATCAGAATGAAAATAATATAAAATCACACATAAAAAATTTGTAAAAGTTTTTTATTAATTTTTCAAGTTTTTTCCAGTTCCTTTCAGTTTCTTCCAGTTCTTCTAATTTACTCCAGTTTCTTTCAATATTCAGCTCTTTTTTTCCAGTCCTAAAGAACAAACTCTTAGTGTCTTAAAAATTATCCATAGAACCAGACCTTTATTTAATTTGACGGTATTTTGCGGTAATTTACGGAGTACTAAAATAGATAAACAAACTCAAACACGAATCCTAATTTCCCAGTCAAAACTACCACAAAGGATCCAGGGGAGGAAATCTTTTAGCATCCAAATAGATGAAGAGCAACCAATGGGCAACGACCCCACAGCGGAGGCTCAATTTTGCTATTCAACATTAAACAAAGTTGAATTTTTGAATGGATTATTTGGCAAGAACTAAGGAGTAATATTTACTCTTGGTGGGTAATGAATGCTCCTATGATACATTTTGAGTGCATATTACTTTTATGGATGTTCTCAGATATTTTTTTTTTAATTTTTCATTCTTTCCTCTTGAGTTACAATTCTTGGTCGAGTGTGTGCTCTAGAGAAAAATGTTTCCTCTTGAGTTATAAGACCTCGTGAGTTTATTTTAAGACACTTTAATCCTAAGAAACAGATTACCCTTTGATGAATAATTTTCTCTTTTACTCTTTCCAAGTTTTATAAAATAATTTTCTTTCTCTTAAAAAAAATTGCACTCTTCACTATTCAAAAATCATAGAAACTTTTATTTTTACTTTTTTATGCGTTTTGATTCATTATTTGATGAATTAATATATTATTATCGCTTCTTGTTTTATAAAACTTTTTGCGTAGTTTATTAACATGTAAACTTTTTTTTAAATAAAATGGATTTAAAAAAAGATATTTCACTTTCATTAAAAAGACACTTTTGTTCAAAATAAAACAAATGAATTAGGGAGTACTCCCTCCGTCCCAAAAAGATCTTCCTGTTTCATTTCTTGCGTGTCTCATAAAACACTTCTATCCCGCCTCAAATGCAAAAAAAACTTTCAAAACAACTTCTACTTATAATAAATGAGAAATGTGGTAAATTTTAGACATTTTAGATATGTATAGAAGTATTTTATAGGATGCGCAAAAAATAAAACAAGAAAATCTTTTTGGGATGGAGGGAGTATATACTCCCTCACGAAAAAGAAGTCTCTCTCCTCCGGATCAGGAACAATCAGGCTCTATAAAAAGACAACCTGCGAGCCCTCAAACAACTTCATCGTCCCACGAGCTCTAAGCTCACACTCTCTCTCCTCTCCAATCCCCCAAAAGAAGAAACCCACCCACCATGGCCATGGCTTTCAAGATGGTTTATATATTACCTTCCTTTGATTTGATTCTCACCATCCATAAGTTAATTTTTGCCCATATATTATATGATTCGATTGAATTTGATGATTACTGGTTTTAATTTGTTCACACAGGCGACTACAGGGATGTGCTTAACGGATGAGTGCAAGAACTCGTTCATGGAGATGAAGTGGAAGAAGGTGCACAAGTACATAGTTTTCAAGATCGAGGAGAAGTCCCGGCAGGTCACCGTCGACAAGGTCGGCGGTGCCGGCGAGAGCTACGACGATCTGGCGGCCTCCCTGCCGAAAGACGACTGCCGGTACGCCGTCTTCGACTTCGACTTTGTCACCGTGGACAACTGCCGGAAGAGCAAGATCTTCTTCATTGCCTGGGCGCCGGCGGGATCGCGGATCAGGGCGAAGATGCTGTATGCGACGTCCAAGGACGGGCTCCGGAGGGCGCTCGACGGGATCCACTATGAAGTTCAGGCGACCGACGAGGCGGAGATGGGCATGGATGTGATTCAGGACAGGGTCAAGTAGATTTTGATTCTTCATCCATTGAATTAGCAGCTAATGGGGAAAAATGGTCTAATCTTGTTTTTGGCATCTCTAGGGATAATGATCATCAAATACAATCTCACTTTTATTAATTTTCATTCACGGCCATTAATAAAACATTATATTATTATGAGTGGGAAAAGTATAATTTTTATTTAATAAATGATTAAATTTTACCTAATTTAACCTTTGAAAAGTCAAACTGAACAAATGAATTGCTACAAATTTTTTTTTGGGTTCACTCATCTAAACTTGTAGTGAATGACACCATTTTTCAGCAACTTTCAGCCGAAAGTTAGCCACGAGGGAATTACGGGTCGTAGTGTAGAAATGAGCAAATACAAAAATGCTAAAGCCTATGATTGTGTTTAATAGGGAGTATAATTAATTGGTTAATGACACGTCCTCCCTAATTTGCTCATTTTAGCAATATTCTGAAGGATAAGTTTGTATTTTTATTACAAGGATAATTCAACTATAACAACAAAATAATCCCATGCTTAAGATGGCTTATATAAAGAAATATTTGCACTAAATAGCACTAAAACTTAAGTCATTTCCCTAAATAGCACTTAAACTGTTTTATTCTCTAAATAGTACTTATAATGTCCAGTGATGGCGAAATTTTGCTTGAATAATGACTAATGCATAATGACTAAAAGTGCTACATTGGAAAGAAAAACATATGTAGTGCTATTTAAGGAAAGTCATTATGTTTTAGTGCTATTTTGGTAAATTCCTCTTATATAAATTCTTTTTGCATGTATCTCTTCCCTCATTCCCTTCAATTTTGTTTCAAATAAGAGAAAAACCAAGAATAAACATGGATGCCCAATCAAGGTTATAAACAGTCCATATATTACCAAAAATATCTGACCTCTAACGCCAATATCAATCCGTTAATGCTTGGGGGAAACGCTTCGGGTATAGTTTCCCTTAGGCCCTTCCATGGATGTTTTTCACCAATTTGATTCCTTGATATTACGTCGTCCGTGTCAAAAAATACTTCCCAGTTTTCTTTTTTAGCGTCCCAAAAAATACTTTCATTTGCTTTATTTCATTTTAAAAGTGATAAACACGTGAATCACACGGTTTCTCTTTCATTTGAAAGTCAAAGTTTTTTGGGACGGAAGAAGCACATTCCTAGAGAACCTCAACATCTTCCCTCATTCAGTTAAGATCATGTGTTGAATAGCATTTTCAACTCCTAAGAGTCAGCCACCACTAAGAAGACTTAACCCTGGTTCTTTCATCAGTTTCTTCCCAGCCATGTTCTTCAACCTCAAGGCTTCAACATCTTCGAACCTCCCAACCGATGCATACATATTTGACAAAAGCACGACATCCTGCCCGCAGTCTGTCCGGGCAAGTCCGCCCATTTTTCTCGCAGCAATCTCTGCCAATTTCAAATCATTGTGAAGCACGCACCCGTTCAAAAAAGCCTTCCAAGCGTTTCGGTCTCTGCTGCCATCCATTAACTCACTCGCATCAGACAAGTAACCGGCGCGAGAGAGCAGATCAACAATGCACCCACAGTGCTCCTCAGAAACTTTTACATTATCATCTTCGAGCATTGTACTGAAAACCAACAAACCATCGTTAACCATTTCTGCACGGCTACAAGCGCTCAAAACACACAGGTAAGTACTGGAATCAGGGATTCCCCCACACCTCCTAAACTCATTAAAGAGTGAGAGAGCAGTCTTTCCATGGCCATTGATCCCATACCCGTAAATCATCGCATTCCAAGAAGTAATGTCACACAGAGAGCTCATGTGCACAAAAACACTATGGGCAAGTTCCACATTACCACATTTTGAGTAAACTGATATGAGACAGTTTGGCAAACATCTATAGTATATGAATCCAGCTTGGAAAGCATAACAGTGGAGCTGCATGCAAAAGTCTAATAAACATAGTTCGCCAGCTGCAGTTAGTGCATTTACCAAAAGTACTGGGTCGACATATAAATTTTTGTGATTTCTTGCACCAATGAACAAATCGAGTGCTTCCATAGGCCTCTTATTAACCAAAAGCCCTGAAATCATAGATGTCCATGAAACAACATTCTTCATAGGTGTTCTGTCAAACAAAGTTGTACATGAATCTAGATTTGCACATCTTGCATACATTGTTATCATGGAATTAGCCAGATGAATGTTGAATCCAAAACCATTAATGATGGTCTGAGCATGAACAGACTTCCCCATTTTCAAATTTCCAACAAGCCCACAAGCTGAAATGAGATTACCTAGGACACCGGCATCATACCTGGTTCCAAAATCTCTCATTTGAAAGAAAAGCTTTATAGCATCAGAGGCATATTCGAGTTGAACCAATAACCCCATCAGTGTTGACCAGCTAATAACATCTTTATCATCCATTGAATCGAACACTTCTCTAGCAAGATTTAAGTCAGCCAAAGTCGAATACATGAAAAGAATAGCATTGCTGACCTCTATATCAGAAACGAGACCAAATTTAATACCAAAACCATGAACGGATTCACAAAGATGCTGAGATTTTAAGGCAACACAGCCTTGGGTAAGAGTCATTAACGTCACAGCATTAGGAATAGAACCAGACTCCCGGAAACGGTTAAACAAGAAAAATGCCTCTTTGAAGAGCTCATTATACACAAATCCTTTTATCATTGCATTCCATGGAACTTCGCTTTCCGACTTTATAACATCAAAAACCTTGTAAGAATCACCTGCGAACCGACATCTCGAGTAAGCATCAAGTAGTGCAGTAGCCACAACAGAGTTAAACTCCCACCCAATCCTCACTATCAACCCGTGAACGGATCGACAGAGTGCAATGTCTTCCAGCCCAGAGACACTGACCAGAGCTCCCACAAAGGAAAAGGAATTCGGAACCAGGCCAAAATGTCTCATTGCAGTAAAACACTCCAACCCTTTCCCGTAAAGACCATTCTTTGAGTACCCGTGGACCATGATTGACCAAACCACAATGCTTTTCTCAGTCATTTCATCAAACAGCTTCTGCGCGCTGTGGATATTTCCCATTTTCATGTGGTTACTTAGCTGCTTGGAAGACCTGAAAACATCCATTCCCGTACCATACCTTCGCCTTGGCAAATAATTGTAGAGAAATTTGCGTTCTGTTGCAGTGAGTGTGGATTTACTGATGTTCTGGAAGCCCAAATGACAACACTTTGCTGCCGAGAGAGACTNGGGGGGGGGGGGGGTCGACTATATTGCATATTTACATGGAATAAATAAATTTAGCACCACCTTAGAAAATTAATTTCACAAAATTTTACGAAATAAAGTGTAAAAAGAATTAATCAAACGGTTGAAATTTGATTAAGAAAAGAGATTGATACTGAACCTCATGTTCTTTACTTTGTTAGAAAAATAAAAAAGTAAGAGAATTAATTTGAGACAAATAAGGAGGGCATAGATTGGTAGTAAAAAATAGTAGAATCATCAATTTTACAACGGAACAATATAAATGTTTGAATCATTCTGAAGTCATTTTTCTTGGAAAAAGACTATATTATGAATAAAATACCGAAAAAGTATCAAAATAAATTTTTCATATTTTTTATTAGGAGTACAATACTAATAATGTCAATATATAATTTCAAAATATACAAAGAAATACCACTATATAATGTCCTAATGTTAAATGTCAAATTATCGGAATGAAAATTTTTATTTTAAGATAAAAATATAAAAATTCCTTTTTCTAAACAATAAATGTTACACTCCGTACTTTACTTATATTTTGTGGCGATTTTTTTAAGGTCAAAAGATTATGGTAAAAACGGAGCACTTTAATGGGCCGGGTTGGAGAATGATTGAACGGCGTCGTTTACGTGTCGCTTTTTCGCTCCATTTACTTGTCTTCCAAGATCTCTCAGATCTCGATAGCTAGAAAACTGTCTGCGCATCGAAGAGGCAGAGATCGGAAGAAACTGATTTAGCAAACAGCCATGGCCAGATACGATAGAGCGATCACCGTGTTCTCGCCGGACGGCCATCTTTTCCAGGTCGAGTACGCCTTGGAAGCCGTACGAAAGGGTAACGCCGCCGTTGGGGTTCGAGGTACGGACACTGTCGTCCTCGGCGTCGAGAAGAAGTCCACCCCTAAACTACAGGATTCCAGGTTAACTTTGGAATTAACGTTCCTAGTGTGTGTATATATATATATCAACAGGATTCTTTAATTTATGTGTTAGGGATTTTTAGTGTTTCCGTCCAAAATTAGGGTGAGCTATTTTATTTTATTTTCTCCTAAAACAACACAGTGATCTAACCTACAATGTTGTTCCTCATTTGGCTGAGTACCTTAATAGCTATGTATATACTAGAATGCGATATGTCATGTAAGTGTGCTATGGTTAGAGAAGAAGAGATGGAAGATGAATTATATGTTCAGTTACAGGAAGAAACTAGCGTCCATTGCCAATGGTGCTAAAATGGTCATTGTTGACTGGAACAAAATGACACATTAAACTTCATTTGCTTCTTACTTTCTATGAAATTGTGAGTTGTGAATGCATCAATGGTTTAACGGAGATTCCCAATCTCCAGTTTAGTTGGGATTATATGGGTTTTGTTGTTCTAGAGGAGGAAGTTCACTGATGTTGTAATTTTATTAACTATGGAGGATGTGTTTTTTTGAAAAAACCCAATCATATCATCCATTATTGTGTATATAGCTATAATCTTATTTATTACAGTATCTTGGAATGCCTTTTATTTTTTCTTCACTTTACTGTTTCATGTTTATTTAGTTGTCTGCTGCTTAGAAACCGGTGCTGATTTTTTTTCTTTTGCACATTTCATTATTCAGATCTGTAAGAAAGATTGTGAACCTAGATGATCACATTGCATTAGCTTGTGCTGGACTCAAAGCAGATGCACGCGTTCTTGTAAATCGGGCACGCATCGAGTGCCAGAGTCACAGGCTCACTGTGGAAGATCCTGTAACTGTTGAGTACATAACTCGCTATATTGCTGGACTTCAGCAGAAGTACACTCAAAGTGGGGGTGTGAGACCATTTGGTCTTTCCACCTTGATCATTGGTTTTGATCCATACACTGGTGTCCCATCTCTTTATCAGACAGACCCATCAGGGACTTTTTCAGCATGGAAGGCCAATGCAACTGGGAGGAACTCCAACTCGATTCGAGAGTTTCTGGAGAAGAACTACAAGGAGACCTCTGGCCAGGAAACTGTAAAGCTCGCCATTCGTGCTTTGCTTGAAGTAAGTTTCATATTGTGTGCCTCTTATTTATTTGATTCAGGGCTCATTTGAATTTAATTTTTTTATATTTTGAAGTTTCATATAACAATATCCAGCATATCGATAAAGTTTCTTAATACGTTTGGAGGTTGGTATTGAAAATCTAGTTGACTCATTTCATGATATTGCATGCCTCTTCAAAAGAGTAACATTTGGACTTAGATGAGTTATATAACTTGCTATACTCATTATAGAGTACCCAATGATATTTCTCCCTATTAGGGTTAAGACGTGCCATTGCCAATGGGTAGTAGTGATATTTCTTCCTATCAGAGTACCTGATGACCTTGATGATATAGGCCAATGGAGCTAAAGTCATTTTTGATGATGGTTTAGCTTTGGGTATCTATTCTTTATTTGTTTTATAGAGCCATAGAGGCAAGGTGTGGAATGAAAATTGGGATTATAGTTTTGTGTTCACTGTGTTGTTTACTTGTTGTAGGGCTAAGACGTGCGGAAACTTTGTTATAGGGTTTACCTTATGTTTGGTATTTGTTAAGTGGATCTATGTCTCTAACTATCTCGTGATAGAAGTCGATGATGTAACACTAACACATTGGCCATTTTAGTTAATGCCCAATACCTGATGTGGAAATCTAGGAAAGGTGTGGAATGAAAATTGGGAAACTGGAAACTGAAAAACATGTTTACTTCTCTAGTAAACCAAATTTGAATAATTGAATAGTTTTCAAACTATCCTATTTATTTCTAAAATTTAAAGCTAGCTACAACCATTACTATCGCCACCTAAGGGTGCTTGTAATGGTATGTTTAGGATGCAACTTGAATACTATAAAGCTAGCTACAACCATTACTAAGTGCTGAGTTGGCGAAAAGTTTTAAACTTGGGTTTGAAATATGGGAGCTGGGTTTTTAGAGTGAGGTGGGCTCTATGTGTCTGCAAACCAACTTTCTCCTTTTTTCCTTACTACGTGCAATGCCTTCAACAGCTCTTTCCCTCTTTTTTTGTTTACTTTTATTGTTGGCAGGTTTAAAAAAGTTGGTAGGTCTATTGTTATAGGAATATGTTTAAAGAAGTTGATGAGTTTAAACTTTTGATGTGGCACTGACATGGCGTTGTTGACGTTGCTTTTTTAGGTTTATTTATACAACCACCCTAACTGTCAACTTCCACCTGCAACTATAATGAAACAATAATTTTTATAATGTTCCATGTTTTTTTCTTTTTGGAATTGAATATTTGAATTTGAAAAATATGATGTTTGATTAACATGTTTGTGGTTAACAACACCAGCAATTAACAAACACAGTAGAATCCTACTAGTAGGGGAGGGTGTGTGTATGTTGACCTTACCCTAACTGCAATTTCCACCTGCAACTATAATGAAGCAGTAATTTTTATAATGTTTATGTTTTCTTTTTGGAATTGAATATTGAATTTTTTTAAAAATGATGTTTGATAAACATTTTGGTGGTTGACAGCAACAACATTAACAAATGCAGTAGAATCCTCCTAGTAGTGTCAGCGATGGTGTGTGTATGCAGACCTTACCCCTACTTGGAAGTAGAGAAACATGTTTGTGGTTGAAAAAATAAAATATGGAAATGGTCTTATTATCTTAGATGACCAATGCTGTGATGAACAATTGAATTCCATCACTATCAATGAATTCTCCAGCTCAATTTGGGGAAAAAGAAGGTGAAAAGTACATTGAGAATTAAAAAAGTCCATACATATAAGTTAAATGCTGATTCTCCATTTTGGTCTTTATTATTATATCCATTTTTTTCTTCCACTTTTCCTGACTTTCATGCATTCATAAAACAAACCATCCACAGTATTCTATGGGGGATTTTTTTCTCCTCAAGGCATAAGATGGTTTAAGGCACAATTATTCCTGCGTCTACAAATTTCTCTGCTCATCCCCACTCGCTTGAAAAATGGCCCTCCGCCAACCCCCCACCCCCAAAGAACTCGAAACACACTCACTACAATGGAGACATAGTTTTGCAGTTATGGTGATTTTAAACACAAGCCTTGAAAGGCTTTCTTTTGCCTATGGAATTGCTAATGTTTTTGGCTATTATGGTGATATATTATAACAGCTTCATGTTTCATCCATTTGAGATTCCGACCTGACCTGTTTAATGATGTCTGAAAAAAGGTGGTCGAGAGTGGTGGAAGGAACATAGAAGTAGCTGTGATGACAAAGGAGCATGGACTTAAGCAACTAGAGGAAGCAGAAATCGATGCCATTGTAGCCGAGATTGAGGCTGAGAAAGCTGCTGCCGAAGCTGCCAAGAAGGGTCCGGCAAGGGAAACCTAGTTATTTCCTATCCCTTTTTAAGTTAAACACACACCTTGTTTAGAGATTTGTGGTTTGCTTGAATTGCTTGTTGTCTTTCATAATGTTTATTTTGATGAGGTGATGAACGTTTTGCATGGTATGAAGCTTAATTTGCCCTCATTTTAACTGGAGCCTAGAGACCAGAGTATAGATTCAACTTTAATGAGATGATATTTAACTATGTTTTCAAAAAAGATGTTTTTTTTCCCAACTGATTTCTTCTAGAAATGCTTACCAAATGTCAGCATGAAAAGTAAATAAGAATTGAAAATTTGTTTTGCACACCAAATTGTAAACCAGAAAATAATTTCACATAGACAAAACTTGTAGATGCATGTACATACTTCGCCTTTGGCGTGCATTGAGTATGATCCAATCAAAGTTATTGTTTTTCTCACCAACCAATATTTCTAGAAGCAACCGACAAGTAGCAAGGCCACCCACCAACCAAATCTCAACTATTATACTTCCAATCTTACTGTACCATTTGTGTATTTGACTTGTTAAGTGCGTTAGACCATCTCCAACCCTACTGTATATTTCTAGTTTTGCAGTTAAAAAATGAAATATAGAGTGGAAATATTCTTTTGGGTTTGAGTTTAGTGTAATGATTTGGAGATAAATTACTGTTTGAATTGGTGTTTACTGCATTTTGAGTTTGACTCTGATGGAGCCTGTTGGAGATGGTCTTGGTGCATGTAAGAACCAAATCTCCGAATAAAATTGAGAAATACCGAAATGAAAAAGTATCAGAAAAAATTGAATTGTATTGAATCGAATAGATGTTCGGTATTTGGAGATCATATTGAAAATCCTGAACTGAACATGTATGCTAATATATTATACTCTTTATTCATCATAGATCTTCTCAAATTGATATTTTGTACTTCCTCCGTCTCAAATTATAATGTTTGTTTACTATTCACATGGTCAAACTTTATTCACTTTCTTTCTCTATTTTCTTTAGCAATTTGATAAAATAAAGTACTATTGTCACTACTAGTTTTGTAGATCTTTTGATGTAGTATTTTAATATTTAATTTTTATTTTTTAATTATATACCATTTGTCATATAAAATCATTTGAAAATAATTTCAGTCAAACATCGTAAACCGAAACAAGCGTTATAAAATGAGACGGAGGGAGTAGTTTTTAAGGACATTAGAAAAAAGATGTAGGTTTATAAAAAAATTCTTTATTGAATGTGGGTGGAGTATATTGAATGAGATGACAAAAGAATGTCACGCTTCCCTATTTAAAAATCACAAAAAGTTTAATTTATTTGTATGTTTTTATATTATTTGATAAAAGAAAATATTTTTGTCACCTCTAGAATAAAAAGTTCTTCGATTATTTTAAAGAACATAAGACGTAATTTTTAAATATGAGATTTATTTTTCCTATACTGATCTCTAAATAAAATAAGTTGAAAAAAAGTTAAAATTTAACTTCGTTTTCCGTAATGAGACAAAAATTATGGGATTGAGGGAGCATATAAATTTTAGTTTTAAATTTGCATTAATTAAATTAAAAACAGCTTCAGTCAAACATCGTATAAAGTGCAAAGGAAAGTTAATTTTAGGACGGAGAAGGTAATTATATTCTACTTTGTATAAAAAGGATAAGTCGTCCAATCCTTGAGGACTCCCTCATAACTGAGATAACGATCACTGAGAATATTCGATACTCTTTATTAGTTGAAAGGTAGTGATAAAATAATATAGCCATTTCATCTCATGTTTTCTACTTCTTTCGTCCTGCAAAATATTTCCTGTTTTGACTATTGAAAGGAAAAACTTTAGAAGTTTGACTAAGGTAAAACGATAATAATTGAAATGAGTAGGACTTGAGAAATGTCAAAATGTGTAGTGCGCATGAAGTAATGGATGTAGGTTCGGTTACATTTAAGAAAAGTAGGGGCAATTATGTCTATTTAGACGAAATTAAAATATTTTATGGGACACGTAAGACGTGAAAATTGAAAAGTTCTACGAGACTAATGAATTAGAATTTTTATGTACTTTTTAGGTATGTAAATTTTATTTATTAGTTTTACCCTAATTTTCATATAGATCCATCCCATAGAATTATCAATAATAAATGAAGAAAATACTTTTCTCTAAATCTTAATCTCTCTCTCTCTTCTCATCTCTTTTGTTTCTGGATATCGTATTAGATTAGGGTGTATGGAAAAGTATTTTCTTCATTCATTGATTGATAATTCTATTGTGATGAATACATTTATGTGCTACATATTAACATAATCTGAATCATAGAAGGTAACTTAGTAAAGTAGGATTCTAATTATAAAAGATAACTAATGTCCTAACAAAATACTACTCTTAATAATAATAACCATAAATAATATCTTATCTATAATATTGATAATCATACTACGGTGAGGTTCTAGTGACACTGGAGTACAGTGTCTGGCATTTTAGGGCACCTCCGGTGCTCCGTTCGCAAAATTGACGGTTCCTACCCCTCCTAACTCACACCCTTAACCCCTACCCTACCCCCGCCCCTGCACCACCACCCCAACCCCGGCGTAAGCCCCTCACACATTTTGTGGGGGGCTTACGGCGGGGTTGGGGTGGGAGTGCAGGGGCGGGGGTAGAGCGGGGGATTTAGGAGGTGGGTTAGGTGGGGTAAGACTCGTCAATTTTGCGAACGAAGCACTGAAGGTGCTCCAAAAACGCAGTGGCACCGCTAGTGGCACCGTATTCCGGTGTCACTAGAACCCCACCGATAGTACTAATAGTAATAATAATAATCTTGTAACATAATCTCTCTCTTCTCGTCTCTTTTGTTCTTGGAGCTCGAATGTACTCGAAATCCTTCTTTATCCTGATACGATATCGTATCAATTGATGCTTTCATTTAGACACGAGAAAAGAGAGAGAGATTAATAGTAATAACCATAAACAGTACCTTACCTATAGTATCTAACCATAGAATTTTCGTCCTCCCTAAAAGATCATAAATAGGATCAATGCCTTACTGGAGTAAATGGGTCTGGAACAAAATAGAAGCACATTAGAAACGATTTATATTTTGGTTAATCATGAAGGGGAGGATCTACACAAGAATGAGGCTGAAGAAGTTCATGAACATTGGTGCATATTTGTTTGCTACGTGAGAGAGATGAAGAAAATGCTAATCACTTATTCAATAAATGTTAGCTATGCTCGCAAAGTATATTCACATATATATTTGATTGGCTAAACTGCGGGGCTGAAGGACAAGACCTTAAAAAAATAGGTGAAAAGAGGGATGTGACTTTGGCAGCATAGATGACTATTTGCTATGCAATATGGAAAGCACGCAATGCTAAACTTCACCAGAAAATCTTGAAAGAGGATGAGACTATTAAATATCATATACGAGCTATTATGAACAAAAAGTAGTGCTTCATATGGGTGTTGTAGGGAACGAGTTGTGATGCTATCTGTGTAAATCTTTTGGAGTTGGGTGATTAAATGAAAGTAATTTGTTCAAATAATAATAATAGTAATATACTCCGTATTTTAATTTTTTTATGCTCCCTCTGTCCCAAAAACTCCTCCTTTCTTTTTTTCTTGTCCCACACACAAGCTGTTTTCCTTTTCTATTAAAAAATTACTTTTGCCCTACTAATTCTTAATTTACCTATCGCATCATACCTTTTGATTAATAATCTACTCATTACATCCTATTTCATCCATCACATCAAAGATATTTTCGAAAATTCAACACAAAAATATCTTTTTTCCTTAAATTTTCGAAAACTTAAAATATGAACATCTTTATGGAACAGAGGAAGTATTAGGGGGGCATGCTAGGGCACGTGCCCCTGGCGGAGGCTCCGGCGTAGTATGCCCACGGACCGGTGATGTGGATCGAGGGACGATGTGCCCCCTCAGTCCCTTGCTGCTCTGCCTCAAACCATCAAACTTCTCTCAGGATGATATTAGATAACGGAATATTTCGTATTACGTTTAATTTTTTATAATACAAAACGGTGTCGTTTCGACTTACACTTATAACATGACCACTAGTTTCCTCCTGGGTTGGGCTTGGTAGCATAGCATCTTGCAAAGTTAGGGTTGAATGAATTGAGTATTGTTTAAGTTGAAAAATTGCAAGGAAAACTTAAATTTTGTATAATTACAATAATGAAGCACTTATAAGTACAATAATAAAATCTGAAAAGAAAAAAATAAACTTACAAGAATAGAAAATAGATATGAAATTATATACTCACGGTTCCTAAAAACCTTTTTTAATTTCATTTTTTTTAAAACAATGACATTCTTTGATCATAAACTTTGAGAAAAGTGTATTTAATTATAATATAAATTCATATAATTGGGTTCATTTTAGGATATAGTTTTGATATAATAAATTTTTATATCATTTGTTTATTTAGATTATATTTAATTTATGATCAAAGAGTGTCACTGTTTGATCCGAAAAGTCAAAACAGGAAATATTTTTAGGATTGAATGGAGCATTTTTTTAATTATATGAATACTTGTTTGAGATTAAGTTTATTATTTTCTGGTCATTTTTTTGAGTAAATTTTTTAGTTATTTAACACTGAGCAAGTCTATGTTACACTACTTCAAATGATGTCAAATCCTGGCACCAGTTCAATTGGATAACTACAGTACGTGCTTCGTAAAACTGTAACTATAAACTTTATGAACGGGCCACCGCATGTGCCCTAATTGAATTGGTATTGCGATTGAGTTCGCAATTGATTGGTGTCAAATTAGGCATCATCTTTAATGTTATTGTACTCTATTTTTGTGACCTCCCAAAATATGCCCAAAATCCCATACTGTTTTTAGTTTTCTTTATCAGAATGTGCCTCGAATTACCTTTGGATTTGTCACTGTTCAATTTATTCGGTAGTAACCAAATACACAAAGAATCTCATTCAACATTCTAAAACCAGAATCAATTAATTTGACACGCATACTAAGTTTTGAATGAATACACTATAAATGGAGAAATTGATCCATATTGTTGTTGTAAATCTATATACATAGTACAGTACACTACAATGGAGTTTTTTAGGGAAGTACAATGGAGTTTTTAAACATGGAAATTAAATAAAAATAATTTCAAAACATGAAAAACATTGTCCCTTTTTGTAACAATAAGTACGTTGTACATATGGAGTACATTATATTATTGCTATATGAGCATATAATTTAAAAAACTACCATATGAATAGTAATCAATTAAAGACAATAATACCAAATCCTATATTTTATTACTATATATT